TTAAAAAACTGAGGATACCATAAATAAGCTTGATTTTGGRGGTTGAGATCAATTGTTTCCATACAGGCAGGTCTTTTTCATTTAACAAGCCAAAGTTTCTTTGTTTAATAAATAAATAAATAAGATTAGTCCAGGCAATTCAAGTAGGACTCGAGTTCAGCAGCACATCTGTGTAAATCTAAATCCCTGAATGCATTTTATTGCGTACTTTAATCTCTGCCAGTCRTTGAACTGCGAAGCTGTATTGCTTTTAGGGAGTCTTTTAAAAACCTGACACTCGGAAACCAGGAAAAGCAAAGGAAGTTTGCAAAGCAACAGCTGTTAAGTGGGCAGTCAAGGCATAAGAGCACTGTTAATCAAGAGCTCTTAATCACTGTTAATCCAGATATCTACAAAGTGAGCATAAAATACAGACTGCTACTGCTCAGAGTTCTGCACAACTGCTTGTAGTGGTTACCTGCTATCCAGCTGCTTTGGCCTGGATGCTTCTGGATTTGAGGAGATGCTCAGACATCTAGTTTCCGTATCATGCAGCACCGGTATTGGTGTATTTGTTGGCTAACCCGGATGGATGGTAGGAATGGCATCCTAGCTGCTGTCATAGGTAGCACGAACCCCATGTTGGTCTGTGGTTTTGGACTAGGTAGTATGAGCTGAGTAGTATGGTAGTAGTTGGAGTAGAAGCCACAATATGTAGTAATAGTAGTAGTAGTATGAGTAGAATACTGCTACACAATACTACACAAGTAGAATACTACACAAGAATCTACTACACAAGTAGAATGCTACTACGCAATATGTAGTAGTAGTAGTATGAGTAGTAGTATGAGTAGAATACTACTACACAATATCTACTACACAAGAATGTGTAGTATGAGTAGAGAATACTCATACTACTACACAATATGTAGTAGTAGTGTGAGTAGAAGCCACAATATGGTCTGGTATCTTAGGAAAGCAGCCTTCAACCCCTCGTCAAACAGTACGCCTATGTATAAGTCAGGTTTTTAGGAGTCTATGGGTATTATAAGAGTACAGATTTTTAGAGGAGGTAGAAGGTTAAATACCTTGTAAATGGCCATTGGTCTCTTTCTATTCCAACCTCTTCTCTGTAGATATGCAGGAGTGTTTTGGGAACGTGCATTCAAGACTGGCAGGTGCTGCATGATGGTGGGGGAAATGGTAAGGAACAACAAACACTAAGATTATCCATCTGATAGTTAAAGCCTCAGGATTTAGCTAAACAGAAATTTRCTTTGGGGGTTAACAGATGTCCAGATGTCCTTGAGGATGAATTAAGTTATTTAATTCCTATCTGTTTCAATGAAGCACTTTTTAAAAACTGGAATGAAGCCTGCCTTAAATGTCCACTCAAATGGTTACCAAAACCCATCTACTTAACGAGGGTGGTCTGGCAATGGTGCTTCCAAATATCACCCAGTAGTTGGTCAATGATTTGACATGGTCTTAGAGGAAAAGAGCTTAGCAAATCCGGCTTCCCTGTGGTGCCAGCACTACTCTGTTTTCCCTAACCACTGAATATTTTAAGTGGCTAATCCTAAAAACAGTTCAATTTCACTCAGTTGGCTGCAGTTATGAGGGAAACACTTGAAAGAATCTTATGTATGCTTATCAGTGTGCTGTAAAACATGAAGAAGAAATAGAGAAAGATGGTTGATTTTTCACAAGCAGGATCGTTTCTGGCTTCTAAACGCAAATGTAAAAGTGATACAGCAACAGCAATATTGGTGCATTACTCTCAGTATCTTTCTAAGTTGAAAGGACAATTACTTTCTATTGCTTTCTATCAAAAAACAAGCTATTGATGGAAAATCAAAGCCTGGTTAACTTAAAAACATAATGGTATTTCAGCAAAGAAGTGCCGAAGTGAAAGAAAATGTCTTAGCGTATGAAAAATTTTATTTGTAGATTGGTGTTTTTTTTAAACCAGCATTGGAATTATTTTGTCAAACCARGATTTTTATTGGTGATTTTTATTTTTATTCTGTGTTTCCTTTAGAAATGCTTTAGCTGTCTTTCCTAGCTAAAGAATGGGAGTCAGCTATAATTCCTGCAACTTTCTTTTCAACTGAAAGTACTTTTGCTGCTGTGTTGGAATAGGAAAGGAGGAAAGGAAGATGATCTGTGTGTTTTATGGCCACATATCCAAACTAGATGAAAAATTCCCATTTTCTCATTTCCATTGGCATTTTTGCTTTTTGAAAAGAAAATTAAAAAAAAAAAAAAGTAGAAAATACTTTTTGGTGTTGAGTGAAGCCTGTTTGGTTGCTAGCTAATTTACCAAAAATAATTTTTAGAATTTATGGTAATTTTSGTTATGGTATCACAAGACTTTTATGAAAAGAAAATTATTTAAATCTTCCTGTAGAAATGCAAGTTTTTTTGAATGTCAGTAGAAGTATAGCAATAGGAGAGTTAATGACAATGGTACTTTGGTTCTCATATAATTGAAGGATATAGGAATGCAGGAAAAGAAAAGCCATGGAAATGAGTGTGATTTCTTTAGACTCCACTTTGCCTCCGAGATCTGGCAGAGTTTCAAATGGACTCTTCTGGAGAATTGTCAATACAAGGTATTATGACTGCACAATTTAGCTTTTACCTTTATTAGGAAATAGGATCATGAATGAATAGGAATGTTAGCTAAAACGATACTGACTGTTATGCAGATGTAGTTAATATAGATAGGGAAAACAGTATTTGCAGCATTTACGGTAATTAAGTTCAGAATCTTGTCTGGGGAAGAGGTATATTTCTAGACAACTGAGATTAAAAATTATATCTAATTATGATATTTTTTTTTTTTTTGTGATAATAGCACCAATGAGACAAACAAAAACCAGAATATTTTTTGTTCAGAAACTTCGAGATGTTGTAGTCTGGATGCAGATAGAGGAAAATAGGTAGTTTTCTTGTATGCACTGGTTTTGGGATGGGTGGTGGTGTTGCCCATTCTGCATGTTCCGTTTTGGACGGAAATCTGGCTGTGGAGTGGGTGATGGACCTGGACAGGAATGCCATTGCTTGGGACACACCGCAGGGACAAACAAATTATCTGTCTGAGCAAGGAGTAAGAAGCAAGTAAGTAAGCTCAGCATCTGGCCATGAAATTTTATGCAATTTTCCCTTCTGTTTTAATATTAGAAGTGGTCCACAGAGATCACAAGTGTGCTGAGCTGAAGAGCAGCGAGTAGGATGCTCTTTGGTCATATGGGGCATTGTTTTAAAAAAGGCAGACTATARTGGTTAATTGATGGCAGACCTTATAAAAAGCCCTTCCACCACTTTGGAAGTTCAGATTTGGGTGAGGAATTGTTTTTAAAATGCCTGATGTCAGTGCAGGCCTGTCAGAGGAGGGAGCAGTTGGACAAGACAGCACAAATAAATAGGCTCTTGTAAAGGGGATTCCAGACGGTGTGGTAGAGCCTGGTGCGGCCCAGGGAGGTGCCTGGGTTTGATGCTGAGCAGCAGGACGTGATCCCCGCTGCTTCTGGCTGGCCACAGCCAAGTCCAAGGAACTCTGTGTGGTCCTGCACTTGCTCCAGATCCCACTGACATCTTTCCATTGAGCTGAGGGAGAATTTCGGCCCCTAGCAAGCGGGCTAGACAAATTGCAGGAGGTGACGCATTGTGCGAAGGTAGTCGCCCGGATCCCAAAGGAAATGGGAAAGCCACGAGGCAGAGCGTGTGGCTGAAGACTGCTGAAATCAGAGCAGCACTCGGGACTGTTGGAAATTGCAGCTTGTGTTTGGGGAGGGTTGGGAGGGAATTAGAAGAACAAGAAGACAAAAAGTCGGTGATTATGCATTGCCAACTCTGCGTTATATACTGAACTTAATCTGTTTCTGACAGAAAGCACTTAACCAAATTACCAAAAAACACAACAAACAACCCCCAAATCACAGTTTTCAGTATTTATATTTTGATTTGGTTCATTTAACTGCATTCCTTCTAATGGGGATGATACACATTTATATATTGCATTTCCCCCAACCCTTTAATATGACTTTTATTTTTAATATGCTAGTATTTCTTTTCCTGTTCTTATCCAGTGAAGAAGGGGAAATACAACCAATATTCAGGTCAGGTTGATTTGAAAAAGATCAAGTTGCTAAATACGCTGAAAAGCAGGGCTTTATTCGGCGTTTTACACTCACTGCAAGAAAATCCACACCATAAACATTTAGCGTGCYGGGGAAGGCGGAGGGGTCCGGGCGGGCGTGCTGGGGGGCAAAGCAATGCTGTRTCTTTAATTTTCTTTTCTGAAAGAGGAAAGTCTGCATAGCAATGACAGGATCACTTGTTTGTGCCTTTAATGTGCGATCTGTTTTCTCCAGTGGAGGGCACTCAGCGCATCACCAACTAGAACATTAGCACCAACAAGCTCCAAAGCAGCATCCCTCTCTGGCAAGCCTTCCGAATTAGACAGGAGCTGCCTCTCAGCACAGCCCCAAACCCCTTCAAACCTGCCAAGCCGGATGGATCAACCTGGCCGGCATAGCTTTTAAGCCGAGCCTTGCACAGCATCGAGAACCTGCTTGCTTCCAGCACGGGAGAGCCGGCGGATGGATTGCTGTGGCTGGGGATGGCACAAGGCAGACGGCTGAGAAATGCCAGGTACCAGGAGAGGCCCTTTGGTTTCTCCCGCAGAAGTTGGGCTGCCTTCCCGCTGAGCCAGAAGCCCTGACTTGCACATTGCTGGTGTCTCTCTGGTGACTTACACAATGGCTCTCAGAGCGCGGAGTCCCTCCCTACCCCCCCGCTTCCATCCTTAGTCCTGTCTTCCCCACCCCCAACCCCTTCCCTGTCCTTTCCCTTTCCTCATCCCCCAAATTCTTGCTTGTCCTCTCCAGGGATCTCGGTGGGGGTTACGGGCGTGCACGTTGGATGGCGGCGATGCAAGTGGGACCCGGCTGCTGTGACACGAAGATTGTGATGGTTTGAAGGCAAGAGAGCAGTTTGGAAAAGCAAGAGAGGCTGAGAGCCGAAAGGGAAGAGAGGGAGGACAACAGCTGGAGAGAGGAAAAAGGAGGATGTTTTTTGATGACAAAAGGATGGGTAAGTGAACTTTTCCTGCTTGTTTGTCAGCATAGCTGCAGCGGTGTGTTGGGATTTTCAGGTGGATTATTAGCTGTTCAGGAGGGGGAGACGGTCGCAGCAGGGGCACGCATTCCTTTGCCAGGTGACTCACTGTATTTGCTATTGTATTTTTAGACCATATATTCCCCCTCCCCCTAGACACACACCTTTCCTCCTGCAGTGGTTTTAAATATGCGATTAATTTTCTAAATTCATGCAGCAAGTTAAGGAATGTAAGGGGTGCATTGAGCTGCCTGTGCAGCCCACCCACCCACCTGCACATATGTAGGTAGGTACATATATGCATGAGGCATGCTTACACAAAATCTCTTCTGAGTTTATATTCATATTAGATCAGCCTGCAGGGCTGTTATTGAGGCTGTCAGAAAGGACTGCTGACACTTTGCAGCAAGTGGGAAGCAGAGCAGGAGGGGATGGGCTTTATTGTATAGGTAGTTTTGAAAAGATTCACTTGGTCTTTGAAAAGACACCCCCAATATAGCTGCTAGATTTCCAGCAGTCATTTTGCCCATCTTACATTCTCAAGTGTGACAGGTTTATTTGCCTCCCTTCTTTCCCCCACCCCAAAGTCTATAATAGCCAGAGCATATTTCTAGCTGGCTGCTGCTAGCACATAGGCTGGAGCAAAAGGTGAGGATTTGAATTAAAAASCTAGGCATTAAAGTGAAGTGCAGAGACATATAGTCAGGCAAATTGTAGATAAGAAATGATTTCACTGATTGCCTCTTAGTTTAATAATGAAAACAGTAACTGCAGCACAAGGCTGGTTTTGAGTGAGAGTGCATGGATATAAGAAAATAAGTATTTGTACTGGAGACACTGACCCTTAAAAGATTTTTTCTTGGGAGCAGGCACCTTAATTATTAACAAGATTACAATTCTGGACAGAGACATGAGAGCTAGAATTGTGTGTTGGATCCCCCCACCCCACCCCAGCCCTTTCATAATTATTCAAAGAATGTGGAAAATGTGGGTGAACTCACATAACAGCATTGGTCCCRTATTATAAATTTGGCATCTGAAATGCAAAATCTCAAAATTAGTAGAGCTGTAGAAGAGAGAGGGGAACTGAAATACAAATATACCCCCCTTTCTACATATTGCTGCTCTTTAGGCAGTGTTAATATGTGTATTTGCATAAAGTGTATGAAATAAATGTATATACAAGATAATAAATGCTTAGAATTTGACAGCTGTATGCATGTGATAAGACTATGACCCCTTTTAAAGTAATATGTCTATTACCAATATCTAGCCATTGAAATCCCATGCTAGTATTAAATGATGTGCTTCCCTAGTGTTTGAATGTACTTTCTGTATATGTCTTTCATGTGTTTTACATACATGAAAATAATAAGTAATTTGCACCTCATCTGAAAATAGAATCACCCCATGCAAAAAGTAAAGCCTTTCCTTATTGCTTCATTTCTTACAGTAAACACACATATTAATGGTCAAACTTTATCATGAAATGATTCTGCACTGTATTCCTTGTAGTAATTTTAAATGGAATTGAACTTGTAGTTGCTTTTATTAAGGAAACATTTAACAACATGTAAAGGCTTTGGCTCGTTTCCTTTCCGATACTAYGGAGCATTGAGCACAGTGACTTGACAGATATGTTTATTGTTAAAACCTCAGCATGTAGCACTAAGGGTAGAGCAGCTACACTGAGATGATGTGCAGGAGAACAAGACAATAGAGACCACGCTTCTGATCCTGCTAAGAGACCATAAATCACAACAAGAGTAATTGAGTAACAGAAGTGGTACTGCTGATGATGTGGTATCAGAGATGGCAAGCCAGAAACTTCAAATACGGGCTTTTAGGCAAAAAAAAGAGTGCAAGAAAGACTGAAACGCAGGTTGTCTTTAAAACTCATTGTTTCATTAAGATTATATTTGAAAGCCTGTTGACGGTGGTAATCTGTTGGTGACTTATTTTAATAGCTGTACAATGCACATTTGTCTTTTTAATATTGTAGGTTTCCATTTAATTAAGCAGCTGAGAGGCATGAGTGCGGTGTTAGTGCTACTTCCTATGGTGCTGTTTGTTATGCTCACAGGGGCTCAGCGTGCTTGCCCCAAGAACTGCAGATGCGATGGCAAGATTGTGTACTGTGAATCTCATGCATTCAGAGACATCCCTCAGAATATTTCTGGAGGGTCCCAAGGCTTATCGTTACGGTACAACAGCATTCAGAAGCTTAAATCAAATCAGTTTGCGGGCCTCAATCAGCTCATATGGCTTTATCTTGACCATAATTACATCAGCTCCGTGGATGAGGATGCATTTCAGGGGATCCGCAGGCTGAAGGAATTAATTCTAAGCTCCAACAAAATTACCCATCTGCACAACAAAACCTTTCACCCTGTCCCGAACCTCCGTAATCTGGACCTCTCTTACAACAAGCTGCAGGTGCTGCAGTCTGAACAGTTCAAGGGCCTTCGTAARCTCTTGATCTTGCATTTGCGATCCAACTCACTGAAAACGGTGCCAATTCGAGTTTTCCAAGACTGTCGAAACCTTGATTTTCTGGATTTGGGCTACAACCGTCTGCGGAGCTTATCTCGTAATGCTTTTGCTGGCCTTTTGAAGTTGACAGAGCTCCACTTGGAGCACAATCAGTTTTCTAAGATCAATTTTGCCCATTTTCCACGCCTCTTCAACCTTCGCTCCATTTATTTGCAGTGGAATAGGATCCGGTCTATTAGTCAAGGGTTAACATGGACTTGGAGTTCCTTGCACAACTTGGATTTATCAGGAAATGACATAACAGGGGTAGAACCTGGGATGTTCCAGGGCTTGCCCAACCTGCAAAAGCTAAACCTGGATTCCAACAAACTTACCAACATCTCTCAGGATACCATCAACACGTGGATCTCGCTCATCTCCATCACTCTGTCTGGAAATATGTGGGAATGTTCTCGAAGCATTTGCCCACTGTTTACTTGGCTTAAGAATTTCAAGGGAAATAAAGAAAGCACCATGATATGTGCAGGCCCTAAAAATATCCAGGGTGAAAAGGTGAGTGATGCTGTGGAAACATATAATATCTGTGCAGAGGTCCAGGTGGTTGTTACCGAGAGATCATATCAGGCACCTAAAACTGCCCAAAGACCTATCTTTATTCCTAAACCAACCATTTCCAAACTGGAAAGCAATCAACCGACATCTGTGATGGTAACCACTTTTGCAGACCTCCCAACGCCTGGAATGGAACCAGAGTACGAGCATGTTTCCTTTCATAAAATAATTGCTGGGAGCGTGGCCCTTTTTCTTTCCGTAGCCATGATCCTTTTGGTTATCTATGTGTCGTGGAAGCGTTATCCAGCCAGCATGAAGCAGCTCCAGCAGCACACTCTCATGAAGAGGCGGAGGAAAAAGGCCAGGGAGTGTGAAAGGCAAATGAACTCCCCTTTACAGGAATATTATGTGGACTACAAGCCAACGAATTCTGAGACCATGGGTGTATCAGTTAATGGATCCGGGCCCTGCACATATACCATCTCCGGCTCCAGGGAATGTGAGGTATGAACCATGATCCTCCTAAAACCATTTCAGCTGCTGAGAAGGAGAGGTAAATGTTTGAAGATATTGAGGTGTCTCTAAGCACTAAAAAGATTAATAAGCATTTTTGAGTTGGGGTTTGTTCTGTGTGAAATGTGACCATTAAATGAATAATGGTCAGGGAAGTGGCAGTGATTATCTCAAACAGTTCATATTTATCCAAGACTAAGGTTTAGTTGAAGTAAACAACAGTGAAAAGTCAGCTGGAGTGTTACTCTTCTCTCACTCATATCCCTTGGATTGTCAGAAGAGTCTCATCCTTTAAGTATTGGTAGAAAGAGAGGAGTCTGAGAATCTTTTGTGTTTCAAAAATAAATATGGAAACCTCTTTAGATGACATGTCAAATCTTGAGACTTCCCTGATCTAYTTAATGACAATGCACAAGATGATTTGGTCCTTACAGAGGACTAGAACAGTCCATTTGCAGATATCTGGGTTGAGAAGGAAGCATTATATTTTGTTTGTTTTTGTTTTGTGTAAACTTTCAGATACTAATGCCAGCTTAACTTGTGAGACAACTCCCTTGGTTAATGGTGTTAACAGGGAGCTAAGTTTCACACATGTAGACCAGGTTTTCATTCCGTAAGTACTTGAAATATAAATAGGAAAGCCTTCAATTTCTTTAGTCTATTGTTCAACTTTGCCAAGAAAATACCATACTTTGTCCCTGCTGTGTTGAAGTATTGAGTTGATTTTCTCTCTATTAATGTATGTGTAAGAAATGTTGAGTATTGGGGGTTTTTTAAATGTATTTTAAGGAGCATTTGCGTTATGATGTTCCGATACTTTTTACTTCTGACTACGTGTGTTAGGGGACTGTGGGGAATTTTACCTTCTTGGTTGTGGTCATCCAGCCTGCCTATAGGTCTGTTGAAATGTATTCGTATCTGTTCTTCAGGTTGGGTTTGATTAGAATAGATTTGACAGGCAGTAGGAAAGATGTGCTAAAATTGAGTAGTGGCTAATGGCTCGCAGTTCGATGAGTATGATATCTGACAGGTGGATATTCTGAAAATAGGAGGTCTTTAAGATGTCTTCAACTTGGCACCTAAATTTTGGATCACCAAAGAGCTGGGGAAAGAACAAAGTAAAAGCAAAAGGGTTATTTTCTCTGGAGTCTTCAAAAACAAAGACCCTTGTCATTTTTATTAATATCATGTTTGTGAAGGTTTTGTTTTGTTTTAAGAGCAATACGAGTGGACAAGATCTGACACTARCAAAGTTACTCACCTTTTCACTGGATGTCATAGGGACTTGACCTTAATGACTTCCTTCTACTGTTGGTCATGTTTAATACCACTGAAGTTTCATTAGCTTCAATAAAATGCTGTTTAATTTACAATGATATGATTTGGAGGACAGCTGAATCCCTCTGCTGTGATTGAAAGGCCATCAAATGTAACCATAATCTGCACTGGAATTTGGTCACAATCCAAGTGCACAAAAGATGCAGTATGCCTGCAGTCTAGAAGACTTCAGTACAGGTAATTTGGATTATGGCAGGTAAATAAGAAGCTGAAGAGTCCCTTTGGGTCCAGCAACAGGTGGGCAACATGGCATAATTTCTTCATGGTAATGTCAGCATTAAACACAAGGAAACCCCAGTTCACCTGAGGCTCTCAGGTACTCTTGCTGCACAGCATCAATTTTATTCATTTACTCTGTTCAGGGAGGTCAACTTAAGATAATGCTTAAGTTTGTTGAACTCAAGCTGTGGGATTGTTGGATGTGGTGTAAATCACAGTAAAACTGCCTTAAATGTAATGGTGCTGTCCAGACTGACTGCTAGGAAGTAGGCTCTGTGTTTGCAAGGGGGTTCATTATCCCTTCGCTATTAGCACAGGGGACATCAGGAGACATAAACAGCTGATACTTGAAGACACGTGTAGCAGCCATCAGCCCCACTGAAAYGCCATCGTCTGCTTGGATTTAACATTCTTCGTCTCCATAGCTACGAGGTTGCACTTGTGAAAGGAAAGATAAGCACTGTACGGTGCTAACAAATTTCACGAAAAAAATCTTTGAAGCATCTTCAGCAGTGAAAAGGTTTAAGGACAGGGGAAAAAATAAAATGGAAATTCATTATTAATAATGATTTTATCCAGACATATCTCTTGAAAAATTACTATTTTGCATGATTGAGGCATAGCTCTAGGCCATCCTCCTATAGGTCCGTCTGGCTTGTTGACTGTGCTCAGACTGAGCTTTCTTTTTAAAAAAAAAGACTATTTAGAGGGAAGAATGTTTGGTTATCAGTATGATGGCAGAGAATTTTTTCAGAATTATTTGCTTAACTTCTTGCTGCTTTTACTTTTTAGTAATATTTCTCAAGTCATTGTGTGCCTTCAGTTGTTTTCTCCCTGCCTCCACAGTCCTGTTCTTCCCTGTAAGCATCTCAGGGGCAAAAACTCGTCTCTCTCGCTGAAAAGAAATTATGGCTTAATTCCATTTTGACATGGGAAAATGCCTGAAAATCTTTTCTCGGTAGAATCTGGTGATAATGAATAGTTTATGAGTGAGTCCAGGGGGTGGTGTGGACATACCTATCACTTTCACAGTACTGATCTTATTTTTAGAAGTGTCCAGCTCAACTCACACATAAACCACTTTTTTTTTTCTCTTCCCTGGTAGTTCTTGCTTTGAAACAGCAAGCTTAGGTGTTTATTCGGGTTTGTTTTTCACAGCAGCAAAGTATGAGCAGGACTATTATTTTTAACTTCAGCRGGATTTCTAGCACATAATAAAGCTATGCAGGTGTTTAAGAGCTGTGCTGCTTGGTCTTGTACTGCAGGTGAGTGAGTGGCAGGTTCAGTCTGCATTGCTGCTTTTTCTAGTTCATGCTTTTGAATGATTTCTTGTACTCAGGAAAGCCAGAGTCGGCCTTACTGCAATTGAGAGTAATTCTCTTGCCATCTGTGGGATTGCAGTCGAGACACCTGGCCCGTGGCATTCTGTTTAGCCCATTGGCAATGCTTTCTAGGATAACTGGATGCTCAGGATTTTGGCTGTCACCATCCCCTTAGCAGACTGYGGCCGTCTCATGTTGACCTTTGCTTTGTGCACGTGTGTCGTGCTTCCTCTCGTGCGTATTTACTTGCACGCTCGCTGAAAACGTGGGACCTATAAAAAGCAAGCACACAAACCAAGCTGGAACATTATGTATTCCATATATGTCATGCAAAATATTTGCATAACGCACCATGAAGTTATGTGGGGAGAAGGAACTTTGCTGCAGAAATGGTTCTTTCTTTCTGCTAGAAGATTATTCATCTACTGTTTCTCAGTTATAAAAGAAAAAAAAACAATAAGCAAGTGAACATCTTTCCTAAGTACAGTTGATTCAAAGCTCAGCACCCTCTGGCAGACATTTGGCACAAGCCGAAGGTTACTTGGTACCCAYTGGCTTCTCCATCTCTAACCATGCCCTGGTGCCTGACACGCGGGCCCACCTGCTCGTGTACGTACGACACTGCTGAGATGCTCTTGGATTGTTCATTGAAGTTAAAACCAGGGCACTTGTCACTTCTGTTCATACATGCGAAGTCAGTCACACAAAATTACGTTCACCGTGAATCCCGCTTCCTTCTCCATTGCCAGTGGGAAGAAACGGATCAGTAAGAGAGGATAATGTATGCAAACATGGGGGCTACTGTTGACCTGTTATTGAGGTAGGCTTGAGCTTCTGGGGAAATGCAGCCTTGTGAAAGACAGAAATCACTCCGAGCTTTGTTAGAAGGTTTTTTTAAAAGACAATTGTATTTTTTCTTTTGGCCATTGTCTTAAAAAATTATGAGACAATTGCCAAATACTCCTTGTTAGAGGCATAAGTTTTGCATAGTTTGGGGGAGTCAGAGGTTTGAGGAGGAGGTAAATATTACAAATTTCTTCAGGCTTAGGGGTGACTGTAGAATTTACACTTACATAAGTCATTGTTACTACAAAAAATTACCAGTATATAGAAAAGTGTACTATAAAAGTATGAGTAATGTAAGAACAAATGCAYGGGGGCACATTTTTTTCCAGGACTCAGCACTTGCAAAGGGTGGGATTTTGCAGTTAGTTGTTACCAAAAGGCCTGCGTGTGTTTATGGAAAAGCTCAGCCATCTGTGCCTCAGCGGCAATTGAGACACAGGCTGTAAACTTCAAAAAGGAGTTGGAGGAGGAGGAGGCAGAATATCTCAGAAAGTCTCATTAGGTGCAGAGCCAGGTGCTTGGTGGGAGACGAGCTTTTCTGAAATTTGATTTTATAGTCCAAGAACTTGAAAAAGTGCCTTGCATGAGACCCTGCAGTGAGACAGCGGCGAAGGAAGGGCCATCTCCCAGACTTCAGTTAGGCTGGGACTCTCCTAACCGTATTGGGGCCATTAAATGTGTTCTGCTCTCATCTGGAGTCTGGCAAATAATTGAGAGAACTCGGAAATTGCTCTGAGTCATTCTCTTTCCTCTACAATAGGCAGCAATGTGCTGGGAGGGTGTGTGCTGATGGCAGTTCATCCTCTCGTCTTCCCTTCCCCTCTTTCTCTATTTGCTTTAATTTTGTCCCTTGCTAGGAACATCACAGTTTCTGGTTTTTATGCTTAGTGAGTACTGGTGGAACAGAGCAGATGCTGCATCACAAAAGCTTTTTGCAAGGGATGAAAATACTTGTATTCCTATTCTAATCATTGCCTGGGCCCTGTGAAAGATTCCTGTGTTGCTGGAGTCGTGACAGAACGAGTTTGTCCTCTCCATCTCCTTTCTCCTCTTATCTCACCCCTTCTTTTTCTTTTGTGGCAACTCCACGATGTACTGCCATTATTTTAAGGAGGGGGGGAAAATCAATTTTGGTTCATTATGTAGTTCCTGCCAGGAGGCAGAATGCTAATAGAAACAGGGAGATATCTGTTGAACCTGCTAATTTGTTTTTTTTTCATTTCAACAAAAAAATCCCCTCTCCCCAAATTCTCATTTTAAAAGGAG